CGTAACTTTGAACAGCTGCATAGTTGCACTGATTTCCGTCAGGCTGTCCGTGTGCTTAACTTTAAGTGCATCTTGAGACTTTCTCTGGATCAGGCCCTGGCAGGGTTAAGCCCTTAGTTTGGAGTAAGGATGTGAACAGGTAACTGACTGGGTGATGCTTACGAGGTAATAGTTAACCAGTTGCCCTGGAGAAGTCTCCTGCCTGTGGCCTGCTGTGGGCGGAGGGCTGCTACAGCACCACGGGGCCCATCAGCAGCCCCATGGGTTGGGAGCTACTCCAGCCAGGCTGGGGCGCAACCCCGCCTGGCAACCCACTTACATAAGACGGAACATAAGAACAGCCAGACCAAAGGTCCATCTCGCCCAGTGTCCTGCCTGCTGACAGTGGCCAATACCAGATGCCCCAGACGGAGGAAACACAATAGGTAATCCTCACATGATCCCTCGCCTATTACCCATTTCCAGACAAACAGAGGCTAGGGACACCATTCCTACCTATCCTGGCTAAGAGCCATTGATAGACTTAATCTCCATGAATGTATCTAGCTCTTTTTTGAACCCTGTTAAACTCCTAGTCTTTACCACATCCTCTGGCAAGGAGTTCCACAAGTTGACTGTGCATTGAGTGAAGAAAAACTTTGTTTTGTTTTAAACCTGCTGCCTATTAATTTCATTTGGTGAGTGACTCCTAGTTCTTATATTATGGGAGTAAGTAAATAACTTTTCCTTATTCACTTTTTCCCATACCAGTCATGATTTTATAGACCTCTATCATATCCCCCCTTAGTCTTCTCTTTTCTAAGCTGAGAAGTCTTATTAATCTCTCTTCATTTGGGACCCGTTCCAAACCTCTAATCATTTTTATTGCCCTTCTATTGCCATTTTTGTTGCACTTAATCGGTTAAATGCTCAAACCTAACATTTAACTGGTTAACTGATTAAACAGGATTTTACATTCCTAGTTTGGAGAGGAATGACCGCAGGGTTGTCATTCATGATTGTCAATTAACATGTTCACTCACTGACACACTTGTAGGAAGAAAAAGAAAGAGACATATGAGGTCGGTGGCAGAGTTCACAGCTTCAAACGTCAGATTGTGCCATCATGATCTAGCATTATAACCCAGTGTCCTCACATCACGATGCTATGTCAGCATGTGACAGAACAAGCTTGTTAAAAATTAGCAGCGTGAGCTGCACAAGGAGTGTGCGCCCAGAGGCTTGTGCAGAGCTAGCTAGAGTACACCTGCATCAGCTGAAACAATGAAGAGTCTTGTGGTACCTTAACCCTAGCACATATATTTGGGTATCAGCTTTTGTGGGCAGAAGCCCAGTTTGTCAGTCCAGTGCATGAGCTGCAATGTAGACATCCCCATTGTGCAAATATGACCTGTCTAGGGTTTCCTAACCATGCGCATCACCGTGGGACCTAAGCTCCTTTTTAATGACACATAGATGCAGAGGTGACATTGCACATGGTGTTCTGGTTGTTCAGCAGCAAAAATGCCTCCTGTCGGTCACCATGAGTCAGGAAAAGATGCCCAAAAAAAGCATGTCTAGACTGCAGAGTTTTTCTGGGATACTTTGGAGGTATCCCGGAAAAACTCTACTGCGTCCAGGGAATTTGTCCGCTTTTTTGGAACAGTTTCAGAAAAAGCGGGCACGTTCTTTTAGTAAACCTTGTTTTACGAGGAAGAAGGGACGTCTGAAAAAGTTTTTTTTCCTGACATTTGGCTCAGTGTAGATGGGCCAAATGTTGGAAAAGCCTCTTCCAAAAAAAAGAAGCGGAAAAAGATATGCAAATTGCAATTCGCAATTTGCGTATCTTTTCCCAGAAGAACTATGTAGTCTAGACACAGCCAAAGTTATGTATGTTACTTATTGCCCATCAGATAAGCAGCCAACGTGGCCTGAAGTGCAATCAGAGACTTGTCGATGAAGGTTAATTTGCATGCCAGGGCTTATTTCTACCTTTCTACTTTCAGAGTGTGTGTTGTGTTGTTGTAGCTTTCCACCTTCTCCTTCCAGAGTTATCTTAAAATCTCCAAGAGCCTTTTTTTCCCTTCAATAAAAATCAGCATTTGGGAGGGAAAATACTTCCTGATAACTTTGCTATCAATGAAGGCCTGTTAAGTGCTAGGCGTACTTTTGCTCTTCTCAGTGGCGTAACCTGATTTTTGGATAACTTCTAAGAGCAAATATAAATGTTGAGGATGAAATGCATATAAAAAGCTGTTTGCTTGGTATTGCTTTGATATAAGTGAGCCGGAGTTACAGCCTTCTTCAATACAGCCATTGGCAGAGAATGGGTACATCTTGGCTCTGGAAAAAATTTGGTTTCCTCTCACCCAGTGTCATTTTGCTTTAGCTGTCCTATCCTTTTGTATCTTTGCAAGGGTAGAAATCAGCACATAGTTGTGTGAAGCTGTTAAAAATCAGAACCCCCTCCACCCCATGCAGCACAGGTTAATTTCTAGAAAAGGACCACGGGGGAGCCAATCCAAAAGGTTGTGGAAACCTACTGGAAGTTCTAGCACTGAACGCACTTAGATCGGGAGATGACAAAGCCATTCGAGGATATACACATGGAACAATCCAGCGTTGTTGGATCTAACAAGCCTTCCCCAACAATTCCTGTTGTTCCGTGCCTGGCCATCTAGGCTGTGTCTAGACTACATGCCTCTGTCGGCAGAGGCATGTAGATTAGACACATAGGCAAAGGCAAATGAAGCCGCGATTTAAATGATCGCGGCTTCATTTAAATTTACATGGCTGCCGCACTGAGCCGACAAACAGCTGATCAGCTGTATCTAACAAGCCTTCCCCAACAATTCCTGTTGTTCCGTGCCTGGCCATCTAGGCTGTGTCTAGACTACATGCCTCTGTCGGCAGAGGCATGTAGATTAGACACATAGGCAAAGGCAAATGAAGCCGCGATTTAAATGATCGCGGCTTCATTTAAATTTACATGGCTGCCGCACTGAGCCGACAAACAGCTGATCAGCTGTTTGTCCGCTCAGCGCGCTAGTCTGAACGCTCCCCTGCCGACATCAAAGCCCTTTGTCGGCAGCCCCGGTAAACCTCATCCCACAAGGAATAACGGGGC